GCGGTGCTGAGTTTACTGACAAATCGTAAGTCTCAAGGCAGATTTTACTGTTGATTACTGACACTTGCAGCTGCCTCCCTGCGTCTGCTCTTAATGCCCTCGCTGGTGGCCTAGGCAACGAAGATGCTCTGCTCCCAGGAACATTCTCCGGATGTAAAGAAACAGAAGGCCAAATCGAAGTCATCAGAGTCTCTAACAAACACTATTCTTCCTCAAAATGGGTCGCTTTCGACATTGTTGCTGCAGTCAACTTTGTCAACGGCGTCTTCTCCATTGACGGTCACGACATGTGGGTATACGCCATGGACGGCTCCTACATTCAACCTCAGAAAGTCCAAGCCATCGCCGCCACAAACGGAGATCGATATTCCGTTCTTGTCAAGGTTGAAAAGTCCGGAGACTTCAAAATGAGGTTCAATTCGAATAGTGCGCCGCAGATCATCAGCGGCCATGCTATCCTCTCAGTCGAGGGCTTCGGTTATGCACAAGAGGCTGAACCGTGGATCAACCTCGTGGGCATCCCTGTGTCAGAGGATGTCGTGGTATTTAACCAGGTGGTGGCATTTCCTTATCCCCCAGTGTCGATTTCGCCAACTGCTGATGTCACCTTTAATCTGACCATGGAGATCAAAGGTGCTTCGTATCTCTGGGCTTTGAACAGCACAGGTCTCATGTCCAAGGATCTCGATGAGCAGAGACCTACACTCTTCAACCCCCAGCCTTACATCCACAACAACGTTACAATCTCGACAAAACTGGGACAGTGGGTAGATCTCGTCTTCGTGGCAGCCATGTTTCCCCAACCTCCTCACCCGATTCACAAGCACGGTTCAAAGATGTACATGCTGGGCACAGGAACTGGCCCTTTCAGGTGGAGTTCTGTCGAAGAAGCTGCCAAAGAAATTCCCGACCAATTCAATCTTGTTAATCCGCCTCGAAGAGATGCGTTTCTTTCGGCGCCGGCGGATAAGGAGCCGAGCTGGGTGGTAGTTCGATATCATGCTGCTGATCCTGGACCTTGGTTGCTGCACTGTCATATTAATAATCACATGGTCGGTGGTATGATGATGGTTATACAGGATGGTGTTGATGCATGGCCGGAAGTTCCTGAGGAGTATGCTGAGGGTGGTGATGGAGAGTGAAGTGTTGGTGAAGGCGCATATGGAGCGAGCGATCTTTTGACTTCTCATCGAGACTAGGTCTCACCATTCGACTATTGTTTGTTAATAAACACCTTTCACATATGTTCAATCGGATATGTTGAATCGCCAGATGGAAGAGTGATCAAGAAATTCATCAAATTGCAATGCATCATGGTATCCTAAAAGAAATTGCAAATCATATTACATCCCGCCACATTAAAACAACCAAGTAACCACATTCTTCACCTTGGTCTTCCACCCCGTCTCCTCTGTGACCTTCTCCTCAATCGTATAAACATCCGTCTCAAGATCCATCTCGCTCAATCCCACAAACTTGGTCTTCTTGACAAGCTTCCACACCACAAACATGAGCAGCATGACGGGGAGCTCGATGTAAAAGCTGACGAAGCTGACACCGTCGAATTTGGGACTGAAGCAGCTCCAGCCCTGAACGAGAACGAGGAAACTGTTGAGAATGACGCAGATCCAGGGGCCGTAGGGATACGTCCAGTTCTTGAAGGGGAGAAGATGGGTTTTGCCCTGGAGTGCGAGGGCTTGGCGGAAGCGGATTGACGTGATGCCGATAGAGATCCAGCTGAGTTGGTTAGATACACCGACGATACTGTGCATGTTAGCTATGATCGAGCTTTACGTTCTGGTGGTCGACTTACTTCTGGAGCCAATTCCATAGATCTCCTGCTCCGATGAAACTCGAGCCAAAGCAAAGACCAGCCACGAATCCTGTCACAAGGACAGCAACCCAAGGCACCCTGTTCCTGTTGAGCTTTCCAAGGACCTTGGGGGCATGGCCCTCGATAGCAAGAGTGTACATCAATCTCACTCCAGCAAAGAGAGCGTGGTTTCCAGCAGACAGGACACTAGTGAGAATGACGGCGTTGATGACACTTCCAGCCGCTTTGGCGCCCGTCATTTCAAAAACGATGGTGAAAGGAGAAGTTCGGGTCTCCTTGGAGTTGAGGTCAGGATAGTTGTAAGGGACGTTGAGACCGATGAGAAGAATTGAAAGGAGACTGGTTCTGTTAGTGAGATGAGTGAGTGGGCGTGGGTGAATGGGACGTACTAGAAGAGGATAATTCGCCAAAAGACATTCTTGACGACCTTGGGGAGGTTTCTCGTAGGATCCTTGGTCTCACCAGCGGTGATGGCAATGCTCTCAGTTCCTCCATCTACGCCAGTCAGTTAGCTGCATCTCATACCAATGAGATTCACATTACAAACTTACAAGCAAAAGAAGCCGTGACAAAAACAGAGGCAAAGCCGCCAATTCCTCCAACAAAAGGCGCACCAGGGATATGCCAATATTTACCACCGATGTACTCTCCCGTCTCATTTCCACCACAATTAACAACAATGCCCATGACGATGAAGACAACAATGGTGATGACTTTTAGCAGACTGAGCCAGTACTCGAGTTCGCCATATGCTTTGACGGAAATAATGTTGACGCCGATGAGAACAACCCAGAAAATCAGACTGAGGGCCCAGCCGGGGAAGTTGTCGGTCCAGTACTGAAGAACGAGCTGCAGGGCGACGAGATCTGAGGCAGTGGATACAGCGTCGTTGAACCAGTAATTCCAAGTGAGAGCGAAGCCAAACGCATCATCAACAAAACGTCTACCTCATTAGCAACTGACCCTCCTATGGGGACGTAAGACAACTCACCCTGCAAAAGTACAAAAACTCCCAGCAACGGGTATAAACGCCGCCATCTCCCCCAAAGCCAACATGGTCGTAAACACGATAGCACCCACAATGGCATAGGCGATCAATATCGACGCTGGCCCACCCGTGGCCAGGGACTTTCCAGTGCCGAGAAACAGACCAGTACCGATGGTGCCGCCAATAGCAATCATCTGCACCTGGCGCGCTGAGAGCGAGCGCTGCAGAAGATCCTGTTGCGTGGGTCGCGGGGCGTCGCTGTGCGGTAGGTTCTCGACGTCATTGTCAGGAGACTTGCCATGTTCTTTTTCTGGTGAGAAGTTCATTATGACTGTATCTCAATCACAGCTGTGAATGAAGAGTGAGTAAAGACATGTAAGTTGGAATCTATAGAGATACAAGTTCATCTCTTGAGTAGATGGATGTATTTGACTTGGAGATCCGCAAAAACGAGGCACGAGGAATTGCGTGCTCAGAGGCAAATCCACTCTCCAATGTCAAGAGAGTTGCAGTTACGTACGAGCAAAGTGTATTTGGGTGGTATTTTATTACTATCCCCTTCCTTGCTGAACCATGTCAATGGGATCTTCAGAGTGACAAACTTGAACCCGCTAAGGGAAGGTCGCTAGGTTCGGATCTATGTAAGGTCGCTAAGCGCTAAAATTCTGTGGTAACGTCGCATGAGCCCACTTCTCCAGTGAATTCAGCCTGTTCACGTAGTTAATAACAAGATATGATTATATCTATTGTATATCTATACTCTTGACTTTTTCTCCAATACTTTCACGTATTCTCGAGTTCATATCTAACTATATTGGACGAGAATACGGATATCAAATTACAAAGTCACCCACCAAAAAAGTCACTACGGCGATTTAGAGGGTCACTCTCGGCCGGATGGCGGCTTATACACAAGTTGGGTTACCTCGCCGAGTTTTCCAGAAAATCTCTGCTTAGAAGGATTCCAACCTCATGGTTCAGTGGCCTGTGATTACATCTGACATGTTGTATATGAACTTGAATGTCGCACGCAATTCTTTCCTCAATGACAACACTGCCCATGTCTACCTCTTCTCATATTCAATACTGCTACTCACGAGACGTTACACAGCTCTCATGATGTTCGACATGGGTCAAGTCTAGTCTACCTAGTCTGGCCAAGCCGGGAATTAACATCTGAGCCAAGAATCGCCAAGATCTCTTTTTTCGCTTTCGTCCTCTTCTAGAAGCTTGCTTGGGTTAATAAGCAAAAGGCAAAGCAGCTCAGCTCCGAGATCATGCAACTTATTCCCGTGTGATTGTCTCTCTATCACTCCATGACTCTGCCTATCTCGCCACTCAGTGACCCTCTCACCTATTAATGTCTTTGTTGCTGTATTCAACACTGAAAATGTCACTTCATAGTCATCATAACCATTCTCACGAGCTTACCCACAGACAGTTACTTTGCTCGCATAAACATTTTTATACAGACTGTTCATTTGCATGGATCTCATTTCCACGTAGCATGAGATCTTGGATAGACTGAAACATCTGCTCGACTGAAAATGCACCCAGAACTGTTGACGATATTCAGCCAATGCGCGTCTTTTTATGCAATGTGTTCTTACAGTCAGTTCATAGCACATATGACTCCGAGACTCTGCCTAATATGATCCTAGAGCCAAGCAATGGCCACATATCCGTATCTCAACGGACCTGGCTGTAACTAACAATCCGTTAATTGTGTCTTCTAGATATTTGGCCTTGGCAGACTCAGTTTTGGTCTTGTCGGCTGTAACAGGCTCCCAACTTAGACTGGACCCAGTCTGCTGTGCTATGATTCTTCAAGGCTACCAAATTAATCATAGCCCTACCCAAGCATCGCCATCACCAATCTGTCCTCAATTTAATAGTCTACTAACAGTAACTTGCTTAATCTGCCTTGACTTATAGTGAAGGCCTAACTGTCACTGGCGTAGGACTTGTGGTGGCTGCATCTCCACACAGCCACTCCCTCCCAGCCCAGCCCAGCTCATAGGCAGCAACACCAACAATAAAACCACCAATATCTTGCCATAAAACTGTCCTTTTTGGAAAGATCTACTTAATAGGCATCAATATTCCTCTTCTCATAGTAGCATTAATTTTATTCCATGTCTCATCCTCTCAAGATACCCCTGTTATAGTGCTTATAAAATGTTATCCAACCTCGCCTCAAAACTAGGTCTCACCTCCAAACCCGCATCCCAATCCTTCCTCAAACCACGCGACCCTTCCAAGAACATGCTCACCAAAGTAGACTACACATCAAACGACATTCCCATCCCTGATGATTTCCTCTCTTCTCCGCCTGAAACCCCAATAACGACTCATCCCATCGACTTTGCAAACTCTCCTCTTCCTCAGTACGATGGCCACACGGCTATCGTGCTAGACAATGTCCTCTCACCAGAAGAATGCAACCAACTTCTCTCTCTAGCTGAAGCGTCTGTTCCAAGACCGGATGAGAGTGCTCCGGCTTGGAAACCTGCTTTGATAAGCGCCGGTCCTGGATGGGAGGCCCCAGCGCCCGGGTACAGGGAGAGTGATAGGATTATATGGAATCAGCAGACTGTTGTTGATCGCCTATGGGAGCGCTGCATGCTCTCCAAGGGGCTGCGGGAGCTTCTGGCCGTGGTGCCGCCGCAGCCCTATATGAAGGGTGGGAAATGGGTATTTAGTCGGTTCAACGAGAGGATGAGGTTCTTGAAGTATTCACCGGGACAATTCTTTAAACGTCAGTGTAACCAGCCATCTCTCATGTCCACAGCTAACATATCTCCCAGCTCACTGCGACGGTCCTTTCTACTATACCGAAGGTCCAGGAAAAGAGTTTGAGACTTTCTACACTGTTCACCTGTACCTCAATGACTCTGTTGAGAATGATCCAGCATCGGAACTTGAGGGTGGCGCAACTTCATTCCTTGACAGAAAGGGAGAGAAGAGAGTCGACGTGAACCCCAAAACTGGAAGCGTTCTCATCTTCCAACACAGAGGGCTTTTCCATGAAGGAGCAACGGTGCGCAAGGGGATCAAATACACCATGAGGACAGATATTCTCTACGAATGGGTGCCTGATAAGGAAACGGAAGAGGCCAACTAAGAGGGGCAAAAAAACTCGGGACCTCGATCTTGGTGTGGACAACCAGAGCCTGATGCTGACTGTCATCTTTTTAGACTATCTTTAGTGTGGATTTGCCTAATTGCATTCATTATCTAGAGCAATCCTAAGTTTGCCATAAGACTACTCAAGTTAGAGTAACAATCCCAAGTTTGCCATAGACTCCTCTAAAGTTATGGGTATTATGTTTATTGTTTAGAGCAACAATCCTAAGGTTGTCATAAGGCTACTCTAAGCTATGGATGTGCCGCCGCTACCTATTACCTATATTTCCGTTCCTTCGGCATCTTCTTCGCCACCAATTCCTCCATATCCTCCTTTTTATATACATGCGGTGCTAATTCCCCGAGCCATTTTGGCTCAATAGGCATCACACTGCGCATATAATCCTTGGTTGTCTGGACAAGCTCAAAATAAATTACCGTCTTCGCTGGGGGGTCAACGGACATCATGACACTGCTTGGGTGGATCCACATGGCTGTATTGCTCTTCACCATCCTGTAACCGTCACCACTCTTCTGCAGCCGTGCAGCGTTGAGGAAGAATCCCGATGTGATGGCACGTTTGATAGGCAGAAGGTTGGAGACACCACACGTAGACAACTCGACTTCGACCCTTTCGCATAGCTTTGCTAGTTGGTCACGAACGTCGCGTGCCCTTGTGAGAGACCGTTGTTGAAGAAAATTCTCCTTCGCCCAGATGGGGGAGAAGCCGCTGTCAACCCATTGGGTCCAGATGTTCAGAAGTGTGACGTGGTCACCTCCATCCTTGATGGTGAATCGGTTCCTGGCGCTGTCTGCTTCAATCTTCTTGTCCTTGGGTCGGAAGAACAGCGTAGAAGCTTCACCAAGCATCGATACAATGGATAGAACCTCTTCGACGCAGCCTTCCTTGCCGGCAGCCAACACTGCTTTGGCTAGCAAAGGGTCTGTAGGGAATTCGGCCATTTGTCGGCCAATTTTGGTCAACTCGCCACGATGATTCAACGCCTGCAGAGCGTATAACTGATTCAGCGCACCAATGAGAGAGTCTTTAGAAGGAGGATCCATGAAGTCGAAATCAAGCAGTTCATTGATGCCTAGGGACTTCAGTTGAAGCACAACACCATTCAGGTTTGTTCGCTGAATCTCTGGTGTAGTTGATTCGTCCATTTCGTTCATGTATGCGAATTTTGTATATAGACGGAAACACTTTCCTGGTCCAACACGACCGGCTCGACCACTTCGCTGGTTTGCAGATGCTCTCGAGCAAGGAACAACAACCAAGTTCGACGCACGGGTGGCGGGGTTGTAGACGTTTTCCTTGACATAACCAATATCAATAACGTAGACAATTCCATCGATGGTTAAACTGGTTTCGGCGATGTTGGTGGCCAAAATGACTTTACGAGCTCCTTCTGGTGTTGGTTCGAAGATCTTCGCCTGTAAATCGGACGGTAGGTTTGCGTAAATGGGGCAGATGATAAGTTCCTTGATGCGGTTGCCGAGCTTCTTTGCTGTTTGAGTAAGCTCAAGCTCGGCGGCTTCAATCTCATCTTGTCCGGTCAAGAAAATTAGAATATCACCCTTGGGCTGTGTTGTGTGAATCTGGAATGTTGTTACAATGGCCGCGGTCAGATAATTCGCTTCGGGAGCGGGTGTGTAGTAAATGTCGACTGGGTATTTTCGACCAGGAATATTGAAGATAGGGGCGTTGTCGAAATACTCTGAGAATCTCTCAGCGTTCATGGTAGCTGATGAAATCAGCAGCTTCAAATCAGGTCGCGATCTCGAGAGATCCTTGAGTAGCGCCAGGAGGATATCAGTGTGTACTGTGCGTTCGTGAGCTTCGTCGATCATCAGCGCTGAATACGACGAGAGTTCAGGGTCTGTCATGATTTCTCGTAATAACATTCCATCAGTCATGTACTTGAGGATGGTCTTGTCGCTGGTGCAGTCCTCGAATCGGATCGTATATCCGACCTCTCTACCGACTTTGACACCTACTTCATCAGCCACACGAGCTGCTACACTCATGGCGGCCACTCGACGAGGTTGTGTACATCCCACTTTCATGCCGTTCTTGGTATAACCCGCCTCGTGGAGATATTGTGGTAGCTGAGTCGTCTTTCCACTGCCAGTCTCTCCGACAATGACGAGAACTTGAAACTTCTCCAGCGCAGCGAGGAACTCGTCTCGATATTGGTAAATGGGCAGGCTCTTTCGTGTCTCCTGTATTGATAGTGCCTTCTTCTCGGCTTCATCGATCCGCGCCATCAGGGCTTGTTGTTCTTGGGTCAATTTTTGACGGTCGCCAGGCATTCTCGCGTCCGACTTCCACTGAATATACTGCGATTCGTCCATAACAAGGTCGTAATCGTCGTTCTCTCTTTCGGCGCGCTGGATTTGCGCTTTCACCTTTGTGGTTTGTTCCCGTTCCCATTCTTCATGCTCTGTGACGAATTTCTCCCGCCCGAACTGATCTCTTTCAATGTGCTTCTTATATAGTACCTCTTCCTTCTTCTTGCGATCGAGTCTTCCCTTCTCGGTGATGTAGTCCTCGGGCATGTAGTATCCATCTCGATGATCATCAATGTTAAGTCGCTCTTCGGCCAGTCGCAGGATCTCTCTGTTCTTGGCAAATTCGGCTTTCTCTTTTTCCGACAGTCGCACACCGCTCCTCAACTCATCCGTCTCCTCTGCAACCTGTTTTCGCAAGAGAGCAAGTCGTTCGGCTTCTCTTTTCTTGAGATATTCTTGTCGCGATCGTTCTCGAATATCGGGCAGCGCCGCCTTATTCCGTGCCGCGTCATCTTCGGTCTTCCTCTTTTTCGAGGACTTCTTCGATGACTCCCCCCTTTCCTCTCCCGCCTCTTCCTCCATAGGGAGGAATGCATAGCGTTTGGCGCTCATGATGTGTGTGTTGTCGAGTTGAAGTGGAAATAATAGGTGGGTCCGGGGAACTTAGACGATGGAAATATTGATCACGTGACGCTTCGGAGCTTGAATCGCTGTCAATCAAGGGCTTGCCTTATATACATAAATTCGTATTGAGTTTGGTTGCATTGAATCCTAAATAATAAAAGACTTAGGTAACTTGGTATAAGTTTAGGATAGTCTTAGTATACCTTTTGCTGAGTTTATTTTGACTCCTCATCTGTCTGGTGTTTTCTTGCCCCTTGAAGGCAGCATAGGCAGTAAGGTATGCAAAAGTCATTCCCTATTTACCTCCGGTCCCGTGGGGCGGCTAAAGATCTGTGTCACCAAAGGTCGAGTCTCGCACTCACTGGTTGTTTACTGTAACAGGCAGCGAGCAAGGTCGATGGCGAAGCATCAACATCCAGTGTCGATATTCAAACATTAGGATAGATTTAGGACTACGTTGATGAGTAGCTTATTTAGATTTAGGTATGGCTTCTTAACTGGGGGTCTTGCAGCCAGTTCAAGCTTAGTACAAAACCATGCTGGAAACTAACAGTTGAGTTGAGTTATAGACCGACCATAGGAGGATACCCTCAGGAAGCAAGAAATAATAAGAGTTTAGAAGAGGGTGTCAAAATAAACTAACTAAAGAGTTTCCTAAGCTTAGGCTAAATTAACTAAATATTTTTATCTTTCAGGATTCAGGTCCTGACTTTTCTTTTTCCTCCCCTAGGATGCTTCTTGATCTCCAAGTGAGTGAGTGAATGCTCTTGTGTGGGGCACAGAGCTGAGGGTGGCATTATGCCTGACAGCGGAGAAAGCATAATCCGACAGTGAGTCAAGCCTCTTGGCCAGTCACACACCCTCGATAAGAGTCCCCTTGGCAGGGGTCTACTGATAAGCTTGCTGCTGTCCCAAAAAGTGTAGCATAGCACTTGATAACACGCTGGTGTTTCGAGGTTCAGGCGACTTTCTTTGTTCGTTCTTCATCGAGTTCAACTCACCCTCCTTAGCTCCTTGCAACATCTCGAAGTCTGTCCTTCTTTACCACTCAAGGTCGGAAGTTTCAGTTTGTTTATATAAATTCTCTTTCCATCTTTTCTTTTTCTTTTTTATATCTGCAGGAAGAAGAACAAGATGTTGTTCCATACAGCGGCCCTCGTGGTCCTTCTAGCTCTGGTCCAGCTAGCTGTATGCGCCCAGGACTATTACAAGGTATAACAATTCCCATGTGCCCATAAATATGCAGATTCTGACAGTTTTGCAGGTTCTCGGTGTAAGCAGGCAAGCAGGGAAGAAGGAATTAAAGCAGGCATATCGTCAATTGTCGAAGAAGTTCCATCCAGACAAGAATCCGTATGCCCCTCCGATCCACCCCCCTGCTTGATTTCTAATACTGACCTTTTCCAGTGGCGATGACACAGCACACGATAAGTTCGTCGAAGTTTCCGAAGCTTACGATGTCTTGAGCGATGAGGAAATGCGCAAAGTTTACGACCAATACGGCCACGAAGGTGTTCAACAGCGCCGCCAAGGAGGAGGAGGTGGTGGTGGCCATGATCCCTTCGATCTCTTCAGCCGCTTCTTCGGTGGGCACGGCCACTTCGGACGAGCATCCAGCGAGCCCCGAGGCCACAATGTCGAAGTCCGTGTAGAAATCTCCCTCCGCGACTTTTATAACGGCGCCACCACCGAGTTCTCCTGGCAGAAGCAACATATCTGTGAAGCCTGCGAAGGCACCGGAAGTGCAGATGGGCAAGTCGATACCTGTCATACTTGCGGCGGTCATGGTGTACGCATCGTCAAGCGTCAGCTCGCTCCCGGAATGTTTCAGCAATTTCAGCAAAGATGCGATGCTTGTGGCGGTAGGGGCAAGAACATCAAGCACAAGTGCAAGGTCTGCCAGGGTGAACGGGTTGAGAGGAAGGCGACGACTGTTCAACTCAACGTCCAGCGTGGAGCCGCCCGCGACTCTCGTGTTGTCTACGAAAACGAAGCTGATGAGAGTCCTGATTGGGTTCCTGGCGACTTGTTGGTGACATTATCTGAGAGGGCTCCATCATATGACAACAATCCCGATAAGACCGATGGCGCATTCTTCCGTCGCAAGGGTGACGATCTGTACTGGACCGAAGTTCTCTCTCTTCGAGAAGCTTGGATGGGCGGCTGGACTCGCAACCTCACTCATCTCGATAACCACGTCGTGCGGTTAAGTCGACCCCGTGGTAAGGTTGTCCAGCCCGGCCACGTCGAGACTGTGGCTGGAGAGGGTATGCCCATCTGGCACGAGGATGGCGACAGCGTGTACCACAAGACCGAGTTCGGAAACCTATACGTCGAGTACGCAATCGTACTACCCGATCAGATGGACACCAACATGGAAAGCGATTTCTGGAGCCTCTGGGAGAAGTGGCGACTCAAGAGCGGCGTCGATCTACATAAAGACAGCGGACGACCAGAACCTGCAGCGCACGCTAGAGATGAGTTATAATGAGAAAAAGGTGATCGGCGTCGAGGATGAGGAGTTAGTTGTATGATTTATAAGAAGGGGGGCTTATATATATATTAGTGTCGATACGAAAGGATACCAACGGCATGTTTCAGAATATTATAGACGTTATGGAAATGTCCATGTTACAAGTACAAGATGCTTAAGGGTCTGTTGGTGTTGTTGTGAGGTCCAGGAACCGGAACAAAACCTCCAGTTACTGACAACGGTAAAGATGTGCCCCACAGAATGTAACATCGACTTACAAGGAATCACCCAGAACAATCCAACACTCTCACAGTATTTCAGAACCTCATATCATACAATCGCATACCTAAAGGAACTAATCCTCCATCGACTACATCTCAAAGCTTAAGCGAAACTTCTACAACATTGGACCCTTGCTCTAACTAATGTGGCTTAGACCTCTCCATAAATGAAGCCATCACAGCCTAACAGCAGCGCCCATCAGATAACTATATAAATTCAATGCAATCAATCATATCTCGCCTTTTTCTTCCTTTTCCTCTCTTTCCCTTCCTTTTTTTCCTTCTTCTGTCCTTGACAATCATGACAGTGACCACTCCTTAGAACATAACATGTCAAGTTCAGACTCAACCACCACAAACACTCCTGGAAACAACACCCCTACCACGTCGACGCCAGACGTGATAGAAGTTTCCCGCTCGGACCTTGTCACAGTCAAAGACACGGACTATGACACGGACAAGTACGTTATCCTCTGCGGGAAATGTGGCGGCGTCTTGAACGTCGCTAAATACAGCTGCATGTGCGAGCATGGTTCTGATGCTGCTCGCGCTGCTTGATTGGTTTATACGATTCTACCAAAGACAGTCGCAAGAAGCGATATGCATATACATACGTTACTTTCAAAACAAGATGCTTGCCTCCTCTACCATTCGTCCCAGTTCAAACGAGGTAATACAAAGGATCGAGCTTCAGCTCTCCTACAAACTCCACTCAAAATAATACATCAAAGACTCACACTTCAGCCACAAGCAATACTCAATCAACATTGCTACACAGCTGCAGTGCGGCTCCATCATCACGTCTTGTTATAAAAGCATCACCTTTCACAGGGCATATAGAGGGTTACAATTTGGAAAGGTTAGAGACAAAACACACATAGACGGAATGGGGACATCATATACGAAAAGACATCAAACCGTGTTTCTCTATATCGGCCGTAATGTATAATAGTCATAACATCATATCATAAAGCTCAGGTTCAACTGGAAAAGCAGACCATTAATCATATCCTTCCAAAGAAATCATCCCAAAATCACAGTCGTCAAGTCGTTAGTCTCTGTGTCTCCTTCTGCGTCTTCTTCTTTCGTGACCTCCATCTTCAATAGCTTCTCGTTGTTCTGGTTCTTGAAGTCCTCCAAGAATATTCCCAATTAGACCAAGCCATCCGCTTTTACCTTCAAGTGCTCCAGTGACTCCACGAACAATCTGGTCCACAGCTTGACTATCCGTTCCTGCTACTTGCCAAGCTCCTTTGATGTCCCAATCATCCCGATGTCTGGGTTTATACTGAAAATCACCTTGTCTGCGTGTCCAACTACGGCTCCTACTCGATCGTCCATCCAGGGGCCTACCCTGTCTGTCAAATCGATCGGGTAGTTCTTCGACAGACTCATCCGAGCTGGAGTCATCATCTCGATGACGACGTCTCCGTCCAAAGTAGTCATCCATTTCCATAGCAGGAGGAGTGGACTTCGAACGTGGCCTAGTGGGTACAAGGCCTTGAAGTAGGTCATGAGCCTCTTGCTCCTGTCTCTCCTTTTCTTCCTTGGCTGCTGTTTCCTCACGGTGTCGCCTCATTGTCATAGAGCTCTTCGGTGACAAAGGACCAAACACTACCGACTTGGCCGGTTGGCCCTCATCAGACGAGTCTAGACTATCTGTTGCGGAGTCAGCTTCCGTTTCTTCACCTGTGCCAACAACCCTCCCAGTACGGTCGGACGCACCCTCATCAAGGCTTCTGGAGCCAAGGTTGTGGACAGGATTACTCACATTGTCAGGCGCTCTTGGACCGCCAGCCGGTGGAGGTCCCGGAGGTCCTGGAGGGGGCGGTGGTGGCCCAGGAGGTCCTGGCGGTGGGTAGGTGGCGGGTCCTGTGGAAAGTCCTCGAGGAGGTCCAGGAGGCGGCGGGGGGTAGCCAGTATAGTCTTGAGGAACGTACGGCTGGAAGTCAGCAGCACGGTCCGGAATATTGGTGTAAGGATTTCCAGGTGGAGGAGTCGGGTCCATAGGATAAGGTGGGAAGCCAGCGCCACCAGAAGCCATGGGTGGTGAACGTGAGCGAGGTCGACGATCATCATAGTCGTCATATCCTATTTCATAGTGGTCAGTCAACACAGTCACGGTCACTCAAGGACTGCTCACGTTTCCTGGAACGACTTCGGGATCGGGTTCGCGAAGGAGATCTGGTGGCTCGACCACGACGGTCTCGCTCATCTTCTCGCTCGCGTTCTCTTTCAAGTTCAAGTCTTCGTTCCCTAGAGCGCTGCTCTCTCTTCTCCCTGTCCTTCTTGTCCTTGTATTCCTTGATACCAAGGGCTGCAGCTCCTGCGGCTGCGGCGGCCCCGAGTCGGCTTCTGCTGCGTTTACGGTTATTGTCGGATCCCGCAGACGACGCGGATCGACTTCGGTCGCGTCGTCTACGGCGTCGACGTCTTGCCTCCGCTTCGGATTCGTAGCCTCGCGACGTTGAGGCCGGCGGTTGCGTCGCGAGGGGATCGGTGCCGTATTCAACTACGGGGCCTAGCTCAGGATCAGTCCCGCGCTCTGAACGAATGGATCTGGCCTTGGACCTGCTCCTGCTCCGGCTTCTCGAGGGGCCTCGGCGGTAGTACTCATCATCGCTGCTATCGTCACTGCCATCCTTCTTTTCCTTGCGCTTCTTCCAAACGTGGTGCGCAGCCTTGGCTGCTACAGCGGCACCAGCGATCTCGGCACCGCGGCGAAGTCTAGACTTGCTGCGGCTCCTTGATCGGCTGCGGCTGCGCGAGCTACTTGACCTACTGCTGCTGCGACCTCGAGATGACTTGGACCTGTTGCGAATGTGCTTGGCAATGCCTGCAGCAGCAACAGTTCCCAGAGCTGCCTTGGCTGCCGTCGACAAACTACGACGCCGGCTACCGCGGCTAGTGCTCTTTGTCGTCGTGGTCTTTCGAATGATGGATCGCGAACGAGAACGCGAGTAGTCATCAGAGTAATAACCACGGCGACGGCTTCTGCCTCGAATCGCCTCCTCCTTTTCAATCTTATTGGACTGGTAGTATTTGGCGGCACCAGCAGCAGCTAGAGCAACAGCAGCGATTCCGAGACCCTGCTTAAGTCGAGAGGAGCGGTCGGGAGACTCATCGTCACCATGCCAGCGATCGCCATAAGCGCTACGAGCTCGGCGCAAAGCCTCAGTGCCAAGAGCGCCAAGAGCAGCTCCAGCAATGACCTTGCGGCCGCGGTTTTCAGGCAGTTCACCGTAGCTGTCGCGGCGACTGTTGAGAAGAGCTGTGACACCCGCACCAGCAAGAGCGCCTTCAGCCAAATGTCGCTTGTGGTGGGGACTTTCGCTGCCTTCGCGGCGACGAATAACTTTGCGTCGGACGTAATAATCATCGTCATCACTGTGGTAGCCGTGATCACGACGTCTGCGGTCATATCGCTCAATGGCGTAGTCACGGTCTCCACGAGAGTCGCGGTGTTCGTGGCGATAGTAATACTCCTCCTCCGAAGGGCGATGTCGGTGCTCGTGTCGGTGCTCTCGATGCTCCCTTCTAACTACAACTTGTTGTCTTTCAGGCTCTCTCTCACGAATGACAACTACGCCAGGCTGCTGTTGCTGGCGAGGAGAAACAATGACTGGAGCCGGGGGAGGAGCTTCTTGAACAATGATCTTCTGTGGTTCAGGCGCACGCTGTCGAATGATTACAGGAGCTGGAGGAGGCGGTGGGTCGTAAGGGGTGTAGTATTCCGTCTCCTTGCGGTATCGCTCAACGTCGCATCCATGGGTGTCGTCGATATGTTCCTCAACACGCTTCTCAACACGGTAATCGCCGTTATCTCGGCGTTCAGTCCTAACCATTTGATTCTCAACCTTGACGTCCTCGTCAAACAAAGCGTCAAAGCGAGATCGTCGGTCCCAGTCACGCTCAACTTCCTTGGTCTCTACGAAAGCTGGCGCACGAGATCGATCTCCAACCTGAGAAGGCGCAGGCATTGGCATAGGTGGGGGTGGAGGAGGATAAGTCTCTCGTTCAGTCTCCTTTTCGTAAACGTAAGATCGAGGAGCCGTGTCTCGACCACGGTCCTCGTGAAAACTAGCATGAGAGGGAGCTCCTTCAAAAGCAGAGCGAGGGCGATCCGGGACGAAAGAGCGTCGGTCGTGTTCAGCTAAGTCGCCAGAAGAGCGACCATAGCGGGAGAAATGGGAGCGTCCATCATCAAATTCGGAACCTCGTTCGAAGCGATCAGATCTGCTTGGTGCGACCTTGTATCGTCTGATCGTGGTTTTGCGATAGCGCTCGTCGTCTGAAGAGCCATCGTCTCGCTCCCAGTCCCTCTCACGATAGACGCGGGACTCTCTGTAGACGTCACCCATCGCGGGATGTGACAGGGGGGGTATAAGGCTGTGCGATAGAGTTATGAGGATCCAAAAGAGGGAAGTTCGTCAAAAAATGGAAGTAAATCCAAAGATTTAGTATAGAAAACGCCTAACGAGAAATCAACAGCGAAATCTAGGTTCGTTTACTTGTTTGTATGCTTGTATGAGGAAGAACGGGACGGGAGAGAAGTGGTTTGGTGGAGGGGGAAAAAGCTGGGAAGTAACCAAGATGAGCTATGACGGAACCTGCTGAGAGCGAGAAGAAAGAGAACTGGGCACCCGGAATGAATGAGTGAATGGCTGGGCTGGGCTTTGATTCTGATTCATCCAGGCGCAGTTAGCGTGGACAGGGCATGGGCATGGGCATGGA